AATGGCCAGCCCATTCTGAGAAACAACAGGGTGAGAGTTCTCGCTCTCACACTGACTCTGTGATGTCTCTGAGACTCAGTTTCCTCAGCTGTAAAATGGGCACACTTGCAAAGACTAGAAAAATGGAAGTTATTTATACCAGCCCTGTGTTCCAATGGGGCTCCAGCCTCCTTCCCCACCCACCCTCGGCCTTCAGCATTTTAAATAAATGTAATATTATCCAGTTTTTAAGTTAGGGTTTCAGGGGCAGCCAGATGGTGCAGTGGACAGAGCACCGGCCCTGGATTCAGGAGGACCTGAGTTCAAATCTGGCCTCAGACACATAACATTTACTAGCTGTGTGACCATGGGCAAGTCACTTAAACCCATTGCCTAACCAAAAAACAAACAAAAAAACCAAACAAATAAGTTAGGGTTTCCTTAGGATATCATTATCTTTGCCATCTAGCACCCAGGATGGATCTTTCACTTGGTAGGTACTAAAAATGGCCAGCTGAATTGAAAAGCTAGAATCTGTATTTGACTTCTTTTCCATTTTCTGAAACTCAGAGTTCGTGGTCAATGTGTATTTGGTTTACAAGCACAGAGTGTTTACACAGGATGGGGCCTGGCTTTGCTGCAATCTGAATTTCCAACTGATGGATGAAAGCTGCCATCCTGAGTATCTGCTGCCTGCCCTCCTTCAGGCCCCTGGGATCTGAGCCACCCCTTGGTGCTGGAGAGCACGCATGGGAGGGGATGAGAAAGCTGCAGACAGGAGCTGGGGGCAGAGGCCCACCCTGTTGGCTTCATGGGGTATTTCATCGCACTGGGCAGCAGTTCTCAAGGGGGCTTTTTGGGTCTCTGGACCCTTTACAGTCTTACAAGTTACTGAACACCCCAAAGAGATTCAGTTTATGTGTGTTAGCTCTATCAATATTTACTGTATTAGGAATTAAGCATCTTAGTATTATTATGAAAAGTCTTAGGACCCCTTAAAAGAGTTCCAGCTCCAGCCTGGGGTCCCCAGACTACCCTTAGAATCCCTGGCCTAGACTTAGTAGGAGGAAGGTCTGGGTTCAGATTTCACCTCTGATAACTCAGGCCAACTATATAATAGCCCTAGGCAAGTCACTTCATTTTCTGAGCCTCAGTTTCCTCATCTGCAAAACCAGGATGACAGCACTGACCTCACAGAGTTGACATGAGGCTCAAGGGGATGCTTATGCATTGCGCGTTAACTCCCTACAGAAACATCTGTTATTATTATTACTGTCTTCCATGAGAAAAGCAGAATTTAATATCATCTAAGTTCTGACTTAGAACTGGTCTTAGAACGTGATCTCCAGAAGTCCCCAATCCTCTGGCCCAAGAAATAATAGTTCTCCCCTACTCTGCTGCCCGCCAGTGCCTGCCACACCGCCTGAACTCAAGCCCCGAACTTTGGGGCTCTGCACTGTCCTCCGGGGCCTCCCTCTTTTAAAAGCCAACACTTGAAGCCTCCATTAACCTGGAGTAAATGGGTCTATTCATTCAGCGATGAAGAGGCCCAATCTTTACATATGAGAAATTAGGAGACCTAGTGAGGGGTATGTTCACCCTAGGTCACGCTCACTAATACTATGTGGCCCAGCCCAGGTCCTCTGATGCTAAGTCCGAGGAGGAGGAGGAATGATCTGAGGGGAAAGGACCCCCCAGGGCAGGAGAGGAGGTGTCAGGGAAGGGGAGGCTCAGGGAGATGGAGTGGCAGCCAAGGAGAAGACTGGTAAGGAAGGAGGAGGAACACATAGTAAGAGGGAGAGGAGAGGGAAGGGAAAAGGGCAAAGCTTTACACTGAGCTTCCCTGGGATGCCACTAGAGAGGAAGATCCCAGGTTGGGGCAATGCTACAGCAGAGAGAAGGACTGAGGCCTGAGCAGGCTGGACAGCGAGAAGGATGCTTCCCAGGAAGGACCTCAGGGCCTCATCTACTTATTTTACTGATGAGGAAACAGGCCCAGGTAGGGAATCTGCCCAAGATCACACACTTCAGAGGTGACATTTGAACCAGGTCCTCTGATTTCCAAGCCATGTGGACACGTCACATGCTCAAAACTCCAGGGCAAAAGGCCACACCTAAACCACGAGTGAACAAATTCTTGTGATGTGGATGAGTGTTATTTTATAGATGGGAAAACTGAGGCAATGAGGTGAAGTAAACCAGGTGCCGAAGGCCCCAGCACAGCAGCAGGGTCAGGGTTTGCCAGGAGAATCCAGAGGAAAGCCCTGACCTCTGTCCCTTCATTCAAACTTTGCTTCGACAGATAAAAAGACAATGAAAAATCGATCCTTAGAATGGTCATTGTTCCTATAGACCACTCCGAGGGCAGGCATAGTATCTCTGCCTCGATAACAGCTCTGCTCCAGGGACAGCAGCCACCTCCTTGGCCTCCAAATCCTCCTCGAAGAGGCCTTCCCATCCTCCTCGAGGGCCACTCCCACTGCCTACAGGAAGCCCCCTCCTCGGCTTACTGGGACTGCTCCCTCTCTCCCCCATGCAAGTCCTTCAAGGCCTAGCTCATCCCATCTACTCCAGACAGCGCGCTCTCTCTCTCTCTCCTGAATAGGCCCCCATTAGGGCCCAAATTATCCCACCTCCCCTAGGAAGACCCTGCCTGACCTCCCTTCCCCCTTTTCTCAGCCCAATATCACGACCTTGCCCTCCACTAAGTTCCTACCATGCCCCCTAGGCATTAGGCAAAGTGCTCTTACTCCAAGGTGTAGGCAGCCTTTGCTACCTACTTGGCACATCTTGGCACCTCTCCACCACTAGACTATAAGCTTCTGGAGGGTAGGAGCTACATGGAACCAGCAGTTTCATACCTTGGCATCCCAAAGGAGGCTGGGCATACCTGGGGTGCTCAGGAAATACACCTTCCCTGGCAGGACTATTCTCAAGTTCTCCAGAGAGGAGAGCTGGCTCCTGGTCCCAGCCAAGCAGGAAACTCTTATTTCCCGACACTGTGCCTTTGCACTGGCTGGGCCCCCAGTATTCCAGACCTTGGGGGTTCTGCCTCATCCCCTCCATCTCTGAGTTTCACTGGCCTCCTTCAAGTCTCAGCTCAAATCCTGCCTTCTACAGGAGCCCTCCCCACCACACAGACACCCAAAGCTAATGTTTTCCCTCTGAGACTACCTCCCATTCACATCTTATATAGCTTGTACGTACATGGTCGTTTGCATGTCGTCTTACTCATTAAACCATAAGCTCTTTGAGGGAGGGCCCACCTTTTTGTCTTCCTTTGTATCCCCAGGGCTTAGCCCAGTGCCTGGCACACAGGAGGCACTTATTAGGTGCTGAGATTTGCCCAGCACGTGCTCCCACAGGCCACAGTAGCTCAGGACTCCACTGAACGGCCTTAAAAAACATTTAGCTCAGTGCCTGGCACACAGGAGGCACTACATAATTGCTGATTCCCTTTCTCCTCCTTCCCCTAAGAGCCTCTGGCCCCCAGGGGCCCCATTAGTTTTTTGAAGACATAGGAGAAAGGGGCTGCTTGGCAGGATAGTGGGAGGGGGATTGCTTAGGGCATTGCCTCTGGCACCACCTCCACCCTGGCACTCTCCAAATCCTGTATCACCTCCCCTCTAACGCTCCCCACATCCCACATCACCTCTACCCTGATGCTCCCTGAAACTCTCCCATATCACCTGTACTCTGGTGCTCCCCAAATCCTGTATCACCTCTGCCCTGGCACTCCCTGAATTCCTCCTGTATCACCTCTGCCCTGGTGCTCCCCAAATCCCTCTCACATCACCTCCACCCTGGTGCTCCCAATTCCTCCCACATCACCTCTTCCCTGATGCTCCCTGAAACCCTCCTGTATCACCTCCACCCTAGTGCTTCCCAAATCCTGCATCACCTCCGCTCTGGCTCTCCCCAAATCCACACTAGTTGACTAAGGACCTCCAGGGCAGGCCCACCGATGCAGAATTGGGAGAGTGGCAGGGGCACTTACTGTCATTCCTCTATCCTGCGAGATTTTTTCTTCCCTGTTTTCAGTCCTGTACCACCAAGCCTGGCTTCTCATCTGCTTCTCCTAGCTCTCTACTCTGCTGCTCCCTTTCCATGGAAGATACAAACTGCCATAGCTCACAATTACACAGCACTCTAGAGTCTACAAAGTAGACAGCATTTCATTTGAATCTTTGCCAAATAACACTTTAAATGCATAAAATAAAATACAGTTCCCAAACTACTTTTACATAAAACAGTTCCTGGACCGCAGGTTGCCCCTTGCTACCTCTACAAGAGAATCAGTCTCCTCATCTCAACCCCCCTCCCCACTGCCTGGGACTCCCCTCTCTGGCGGTTGCACTTTGGACCTTTCCCCCTCCAACAACAGATCTTTTGAGTTGCTTCCTGGCATCCGGATTCAGGGTCCTTCCCATTCCTTCCAGAACCACAGGGGAGTCACAGGCCCTAAGTTCAAATCATGCCTGCTACTTACTATGTGTATGACCACAGGCAAGCTATTCCCCTTTCTCTGGGCCTCAGTTTTCTCATCTGTAAAATGGGAGAGCTGGAGTGGAGGACCTCTGGATGTGCTCTCTTGTGCTTCCCACAGCGACAGGGATACAGAAAGGGCCCTGTCCCACAGCCCTCCTGAGACATCTGCACACAGTAGGGCTGCACACAGTGTTTGCAGCCCTGAGTTGAATGAAAGCTGCATAGGAGGAATCCTCCCTCTCAAGGCTTCACATAGCACTGAAACTGGGTGCAGGAAAGGCCAGGGTACATCAAAGGTTCAGTACTAAATACACATGCAGAGCTGGAGCCAAGTACATGGGGTACTTAAGAAAATCAGCGTCATCGGGGCAGTGTGCTGACAGACAGATGGACTGACACGGGCAGGGGTGGGAGCCAGCTCTGACGGTGGGGGGGGGGAAGGGGGGTCTTCAGGAGGCCCTGTACCTGGCCTGATCCGCCTCGTGAGCACACAGCAGAGGCCATTCCATAAGGCGCCCATCCAATGGAACTCCTTTCACTTACAATACGGTTTATTGTGTCGAAAAGGTCCCTCTCACAGCTTCTTTTATAAGTAACGTAGGTTCCCTCCACCCCCCCACCCAGTTCTCCTGGAAAAGCAGAAGCCTTTGCCTTCAGGCCACAGCCCATCCCCCTCTTTCTCCAGTTAAAACGGAGAGAGAGAGGGAGGAAGGGAAAGGAGCCCACTGCCGCAGCAGAACCGTTCCAGGAGGCGAGGCTAGTGGGCTGCTGCTCGCTTCCTTCTACAGGAAGTCCCCCAGGACGGGCCCGGGGCTCAGGGTCTGTTCTTGCCAGCGGTAGCGTAACCTGGACAGGGGCTTGTCCTCAATCGTCTCAAACTCAGTGAAGCCCAGCTGGTTGAGAATCTCGTAGACTCCAGCTTTGGCGGCCACCTGAGGGGAAAGAAAACAGGATTGGAAGGGTAGAGAGGCAGAGGGGCAGAGGGGTGAAGGGCAGAGGGGCAGAGGGATGAGGGGCAGAGAGGTGAGGGGCAGAGGGGTGAGGAGCAGAGGGGTGAGGGGCAGAGGGGCAGAGGGGTGAGGGGCAGAGGGGTGAGGGGCAGAGGGATGAGGGGCAGAGAGGTGAGGGGTAGAGGGGTGAGGAGCAGAGGGGTGAGGGGCAGAGGGGCAGGGGGATGAGGGGCAGAGGGGTGAGGGGCACAGGGATGAGGGGCACAGGGGTGATGGGCAAGGGTCATTTCACCAGCAGCTGGCTTGGTCATGCCTTCACCCATCTCATTCCACATCACTTGCTCCTTCCTTCTCATCACCTCATATCCCGTCTCATCCACTCGATCTCACTCACTCTCCCCTGTTCACTCATCCATTTATTCATCTCTCCATTCAACAGCTTAGGCAGAACATCCTCCAAGAAGCCAGAAAAGTCTCTGTCCTCGAGAAGCGAGCAGCAGACTTGGAAAGACCAAAGAGGGTTGGATAAATGGAGGTCTGCGATTTATGATGTTGCTGAAGAAGCAACCAGGCTCTCCCAGACCACGCCCACAGGCATCCCCAACCAATGAGGTGATATCTGTAAAGCACTTAGCACAGTAGGTGAATACTACTAATAGTAGTAGCATTAAGCACACAGTAGGTGCTTAATAAATGCTTGTTCCCTTCCTTCCTTCTCCCCTCCTTTCCCTGTCAGACACAGAATTCCAGGCTGGAAGGACAAGAGGGTCCACACGTGAGTGACGGGTCAATTACTCTTATCAAATTCCCTTTCTCCAGAATGAGAAACTGAGGCACAGGCCTAGGTGACTTGCACTGAAGAATGCCAAGAGTGGCATCGTGGTCTCTTGGAAAAAATTGATGAGTGCAGGGAGAAAACGAGGGAGATTAGACCTTGAACCTCAAGGCTTCTCTGAAGCTGGTCTTCAGCAAAGGGCCACCTTGGAGAGCAGTGTGTATGTGGAGGAAAGAGCTGGGAGTAAAAAGACACAGATTTGGGAACCGATTCCACCAAGACCCCGGCTAGAAACACAGCTGCCATTTCTATAAAGCACAAAGCACTTTCCCCACTACAAGCCTGGGAAGGGGATACTGCAAGCATCCTCATTTTATAGAGAAGGATGCTTAGGATGTGGCCACAGTAACATAGGAAGTAAGCTAGTTCCTGGCACAGGCAAGAGACATACCCACGTGTTCTGACTCCAAGTCCGATGGTCTTTGAAAAATAAATAGGTACTTCCGTGTCCTTTTTAAAAAGTTTTATAGATGCTTTTTGTTTATAAGGTTTATAAAGATGGTTTCATAAGGTGTATATAGATTTGTTCACATAGATGCCTTTTGTTTTACGTGTGTGTGTGTGTGTGTGTGTGTGTGTGTGTGTGACAGTGATTCTGGATATACCCCATCCCACTCCATCTCCAACCCCTGGGGAACATTTCCTTTGAAACAAAGGGAAAAAAACAGGTAAATAAAACCAGCTGATCCACTGGCATCTGCTACCATATACAACATTCTACACCCACAGTCCCTTGCTCTGCCAATGAAAGAGGGGAGGTGCTGAAGCTTTTTCTACTCTACCAGTCAGAAGATAATCCACCTCTCTCAGACTCAGTTTCCTCTCTTCTAAAATGGGGATTAACCACCTCCCTACTTTCCAGGGGTATCTTGAGGAACAGGACTTCAGAAAATATAACATATACAGAAGTAAACTGAGTCACTTAATGCTGTGTTTAGGACTCACACAAAGAATTATTATTTGCAGGTCTGTGCATGCACATAAATAATAATTATAATATATAATAAGAAATAATATAATAACTCACAATAAAATATTTTAGTCATTAAATAATAAAATTGAAAATAAATAAAAGCTAATAATAATATTAGCAAGCATTTACATCAACACTTCAAGTTGTACAAAGTGCTTTGCAAATGGGATCTCATCTGATCCTCACAACAACCCCAGAAGGTAGGTGCTATTATTATCTCCACTTTACAATTGAGGAAACTGTGGCAGATAGAGGTTAAGTGACTTGCCCAGGCTCACATAGCTAGTACAAGCCTATGGCCACATTGGAACTCAGGTCGTCCTGATTGCGGGACCAGAGCTCTGCACACTGTGGCGCCACCTAGCTGTACTGAGCAGTAATACAGTGTCACGGAAAGACCACGGGATTTTTAGTACCTGGTCTGAGTCTCACTCAGCCCTGCTTGCTACCTGTGTGACCTTCCCCGGGCTTCAGGTTTCTCATCTATAAAATGAAAGGGGTTGGCTCTTTTTTTGTCATGGACCCCTTGGGCAGCCTGGTGAAGCCTATGGGCTCCTGCTCAGAATCATGTTTTTTAATCTATAAAATTAAATGAAGATTCAAGGGCGTCAGTTTTATTAAAATAGTTATCAGAATATTGTCCCATCCAGGTTCACGGACCCCCCTAACATCAGCCTGTGACCTCTAAGGTCCCTCCTGGCTCTAAAAGCCTAATTCAATGTGTGTTTCTAAACACCCCATTTCCCCTACCTCCTACCTCCATCCACCCCCCCACTCCTTGACCCTTCCTCTTCCTCTATCCCCCCACCTTGTCCCTCTTCCCTCCCCCTACCCACTCCTTGACCCTTCCTCTTCCTCTGTCCCCCCACCTTGTCCCTCCTCCCTCCCCCAGACCCTCTCTCCCCTCCTTCCCACAGACTAACAAAAGACCAGGCCGTCCCTTCAGAACTGTAGACAGAGGGGAGGAGCAGAAGAAAAGAGCTCAGGTCGCCTTCTCTGCCCCTTCTGGTTCTGACAGCCCTTCCAGGCCCTCCTCCACCTGTCAGTGTTAGCCTAAGCAGGTCTGTTGCCTTTGGCACTGCCCTCCCGGCTCACAATGTGGCCTTGTCTCAGCTGAACAGCTGGGGCCGCCCTGCCCGGCCAATCCACTCAAGCCGTCCACAAGCCCGGGCCCCTGCTCTGCACCCCCAGGCTGGGAGATGAGGAGGGAGCGGGGAAGAGCGGGGAAGCTAGCCCCTCATGCACACTGGCTTTTTTCAAAAGAGGGACAGAGAACAGAGAGGGTTTCAGGTCTTTTCTCGACCCAAACTTGGCTCTCCTGGGGCCTCAGTATGAAATCATTACTCCAAAGGCTGCTAATATACTCTGCCCCAATCCCACGTCCGACCCTCTTCCACCCTTTCCAGGGAATGGAAAAGAGGCCACGGCAGGAAGGTGGAGAGAAGGGAGGAAAGGGGTGTCTCCTAGCCTTGCTGTGTGACGTGAGGGAGACTGAGATCAAAGGTCCCTCCTTTCTATTACACACCAATGCCTGCCCGGACCTTTAGGGGAAACAGGGAAAGCCAGGGCAGGGAAAGGGACAGGGCCCCCACAAGACCAGGCTTCAGGGGCCCAAGCAGTACGAGGCTCCCTAGGGGGACCTCCCTGAGGTCTGGAGAGGGTGTGGAGCTCATGGCCTGGCCTCTGTGTGCTTCTGTTCATGTGTCCTCTCTCCATTCTGTATCACGTGGTAGAAAGAGGCCTGGGTTTGGAACCAGAACGACTGAGAGCCAGACCCACCGTGGCCACTTCAAGTCAAGTCAATCCAACAGCACTGATGAAGCACCTACTGTGTGCAAGGCATTGCACTGGGAGATGGAGACCCAAAGACAACCTACTCTCCTGGAGGGGGACACCGCCATGAGCAGACAAGGAAATACAGGGTCTCGCCAAAGTCTCAGGGCCATTGTAAACTACTAACACCCCAGACTGCCCTAAGACAATAGTCACTAGTCAGACTTTGGGGACACCTTATGCAAGGCAGTCTGAGGAGGCAAAAAGCACCCAAATTCGGGCATCCAGGAGGGCTTCCCAGAGCAGGTGTGGAGCATCAGAGCTGATTTTTTTTTTTTTTAGTGAATCAATCAGGGTTAAGTGACTTGCCCAGGGTCACACAGCTAGTAAGTGTCAAGTGTCTGAGGCTGGATTTGAACTCAGGTATTCCTGACTCCAGAGCCTACGTTCTATCCATTTCACCACCTAGCTGCCCCAGAGCTGAGTCTTAAAGGTAGATAAAGATTCCAAGGGGGGCAGGGAGTGCAGGGAGGGGGATCAGCCTGGGCAAAGGTGCGGAGACGGTCAATGGCATCTCACTACCTGAGTGACTTTGGGCAAGTCACACACTCTGACCCCGACTTCCTCTTCTGCACACCAATGAAGTGATCCACCCCTTATCCACATTCCCCTCCCTCCACTCACAGCCAAGCTCCTAATTCTGGCCCTCACCAGCAGACTGTTGCCACAGCCTGCTAACGGGTCTCAGTTAGAAGCCAACTGGTCTCATCAGTCTGTCTCGGGCCTCACCCCACTGCCCTCTGCCCTCTGCCCTCCACTCGGCCTCCAGGGAGACCTTCCTAAATCCACAGTCTGACCATGGCACCTCCCCACTCGGTTAATGACGATGGCTCCCTAGTACCCAAGGATCGAATATAAAACGCCCACGCTGGGCATTTAAGGCTCTTGCTAGCCTGGAAGGGATTGTTTCTGGGTTTCTGCCTCTCTCTATGTTCTTGCCCTTGGCACAGCGCGTGGCACATAGTAAGCACATGGTAAGTAACTGCCTGCTGAAGGGCTGATTAATTGACCTAAGGTCCCTTCCAGTTCTAAATTCTGGGAGTCCACTAAGGGCTTGCACAGAGCTCTCTGCACACAGTGGGTGCTTAGTAAGCGTCGGCTGAGCCCTGACACCACCATTTGCTCTCCCCAGGCCTCGGCCTTTGAACTGTGGCCCTCAGACCTCCGTTCAAGAACGGAGGGCACTTGTACTCAACTTCGTGACAAATCTGTGCACGTGTCAGAGGCCTCAGTGCCGCAGCGGCTGATGTGGCTGACCACGCCCTCCATGTGAACTGGCCCTAACTTATCCCTGGTACCTGGGCCTCCGCCTGGGCCCTCTGTGGACGGGGAAAGCTCTGCTTTTTCCTCCAAATCCTACTCTTAGTGACGCCATCTTTCCTCCTCATCCTGAGGGTCCTCACCCCCCGCCGGCCGATGCTAATTCCAGCGCTGGGCCGTGAACCAAGGCCGGAAGGTCAGGGGTGGCATGAGCTTGGGAAATGGGAGAAGGGCTGACCCACCTTCCTGCAGATGGCGTAATTAGCAGAGGCCTGGCCCTCGGGAAAGCCAGCATTATAGGGTATGGAGGTCATTCCAGGAGGCAGGGGCCCCCAGGGACCTCCCTCCTACCCACAACGTGGCTATTTCAGCTGTGGCGGCGGCTCTGAATAGGCAAAGGGAAACCAAATGTCCGGAAGCCTGTCTCCCCACCTAATTTAAAGTCAGAGGCCTTGCCCTTGTGAAGAATCCAGGTCCTACTACTCACTGGGCGGCCTTAGACTAGCTTTTTCCCTCAATTTTCTTGTGTATGAAAAGAAATGGCTGAATTAAGGGATCGCTAAGATCCCTGACAGCTCTAAAATCCTAACTGTAGCAGGGTATCACAGGAAGTGTGCGTGTAGAGGGGAGGCCTGGGTTCAAATCCTGGCTTGGATATGTAATAGCTGTGTGATTCTGGGTGAGTCCCTTGATTTCTCTGAGCCTCTGTTTCCTCATCTGTAAAATGGGGATAATGATACCTGCAGAGTAGGTTGTGCGGAAAGTGCTTGGCAACCCTTAAAGTGGCCCAGCTGCGTTCTAATGACCCCACGAGAGACTGTCAAATGCATGGCTGAAACATAAATTGGGCAGTAGGACACAAGGGTGAGGGTGCTGGCTTTGAAGCCGGAGTCTCTTAATCATCAATTTATTCATTTCATCATGTAACCTTGGATAAGTCACTTGACCCTGGCTCTCGGTTTTTTCATGACCCCCCTGAGTCTGTCCCCTGACCCTCTTTCACAGTCCCCTGTTGAGACTTTCTGGCTCTGAACCTATGAACCTCAGGACCCACTCTTCAGACACCACAGAGGTATTGAGGGAATCCATCGTGGAAGACCCGTCGGCCTGGGCTCTCAGTATTGGAAGAAGGAAGGTCCTCCCGGCTCAAGTGCCTGAGATTTGCCGGGCCTCGCACTCGGCACTGGAGACAAAGGGCAGCCAATCATCTATGGGAAGGAGCCGGCAGGAGTGAAGATGATAAAAGGGACAGAGACACACACTGGAGGGAGAGGGCCACTAGGACCATCGAGAGGGAGAGAGCAAGGTGAGCGGGAGAGGGGAGTACTCGCGCCAGGAGAGCGTCGGCAGAGCCACAGATGCCGGCCCCTAGGGCAGAGAAGGCTCACCGTGGGGATGGGACGGCTGCCTTCCAGCTGTCTGCAGGGCCGCCACGTGGCAGAGGCTTGTATTTGGATCCAGAAGGCAGAACCGGAAAGAGCTCCGGCCTTGGGACACTGAATGGGGAGTCATGAGCCTTGAATTCGAATCCCAGCTCTGCCATTTTCTACCTGTGTGAACTGTACCTCTGTTACATCCTAGCCATGGGATTCTTGGGTAGCTCACCAGACTCCATTTTCTTCATCCATAAAATGGTAATAAGAACACCTTCTACTCCCTACCTCCGGAGGATGCTATGAGGAAAGTGGGTTGGGAATTTTGAAGTGTTCCAGATGGCACTGTGGGTAGAGTGATGGATTTGGGAGTCAAGAAGCCCTGAGTTTGAATCCTACCTCCAGACACTTACAAGCTATGTGACCCTGGGCAAGTCACTGCTCTGTGCCTCAGTTTCCTCTCAGTAAATGGGATAATAAAAGCACCTACCTCCCAGGGCTGTCCTGAGGAATAAATGAGATAATGGGCAGCTAGGTGGCGCCACAGTGCCTCGAGCACTGGCCCTGAAGCCAGGAGGATCTGAGTTCAAATGTGACCTCAAACACTTACTAGCTGTGTGACCCTGGGCAAGTCATCGCTCTGTGCCTCAGTTTCCTCTCAGTAAATGGGATAATAAAAGCACTTACCTGCCCTCCCCAGGGTTGTTGTGAGGGATAAACGAGATAATAGACATCTAAGTGGCGCCATGACACTTACTAGCTGTGTGACCCTGGGCAAGTCATTTAACCCTGTTTGCCTCAGTTTTCTCATCTGTCAAATGGGCTGGAGAAGGAAATGGCAAACCACTCCAGTATTTTTCCCAAGAAAACCCCAAATGGGGTCACGAAGAATCAGGTATGACTGAATCAACTCAATTACAACAAATCTTAAAGTCTTTCTATATAAAATGTTACCTATTATCATTCAGTATCAAAGATGGGACTGAGTGGGGGGCTCTTCCTTAAGGAGCTTCGATGGCATCTTAACAAGCAAATTCCTATTCCCTTACCAAGAAGGGGAAAGCACGTGCCTCTCTCCAAAGGGGTGGGGGTTCTCGGGTCACCAAAGCTACGCTTACAATTTCCAAGTCAGTAACTCACCTCCAGCATCCAGACACTAAAGGGCCGGTGCCAGGAATCTCTCTTCTCTAGGTGAAGGTAGGCATTGAAAAGGATCAGGAAGATGTATCGCTCCAGGTACTGCAAGCTTCTGAGATGCAATGTCCGGGTCTCCTGCTCTTCCTTTGCTGTTTTTCCCTGGAGGAAGAAAATGAGAAATTCTGGAGTGGAATTGAGGAGGGAGGGGAAGAGTGGGGGGACAAAGTGGTCCACTAGGACCCTTCCTCGCCCTCATATCTTCCTCTGTCTCCTCCTAGAATGATGGAAAGCATCAGAGTTATTATTTCTGGAGACTCCCAGTACAGAGAAATGAGCACTGGGTTTGGAGTTAGAAGAGCCACACTCAGATCCCAACTCTAACACTTCCCAGAGAATCCCCGCCCACCTAAATCACCATGCTATAGTAGCGAGCTAGATTTAAGAGTCAGAGAAGGCCTGGGTTCAAGTCCCAGCTTTTCCATTTACTAGCAGTGTGATCTTGGACAACGCACCACTCCAGTTTCCTCACCTATAAAACAGGTATTTTTGTACAACCTACTTTGCAAGGCTGTTGTGAGCAAAATGTTTTTGTGTGCTTTAAAGCAAACAGAGATGGAAATCGATGTTATCATCAACACCTAAGCCCAATGGCAGAGAAAGCCGAGCATGGTGGAGAGAGAGCCATCCTCGGAGCCAGAAAGACCCAGGTTTAAGCCTTTCCTCTTACAGATGCCAGTTGTGTGACACTCAGCAAGCCACGTGACTATTCAGTCCCCCAAGCAGCTCTTTCCTGTCCTTAACAGCAGGGCAGGGGGATCTGATTGGTAAAGCCAAAGTGTTCCCTCTGCCAACCCAATCAGAGATCCCATCTCCCCTCCTAAAACAAACAAGTCAGGGCAGCCAAGGCCGTTCTGACCAGGACAAACAAACACGGTCAGATGTAGAAGATGGAATCAATCCTTCAGTTAGGGTGGGAAAACTGCACGAGGTGATTAGTTACAACAGAAACAAATGTCCTCACACTCCATGCCAGCTCTGCCCCCAAGTGCCCCCTCGTCCTTCAGGGCCCCACCTAGGTGGTCACCCAAGTCCACCCATTCTATCCTCAGGCACAAATCCATCCACTAGGAGAGAAGAATGGGCATGGACCAGGAGCAAAGCCCTAGAGTTGGAAGGGGTCATTGGAGTCAACTAATCCAATCCCCTTCATTTTGTGGTTGAGACTTGCCCAAGGGCATACCAGTAGTAAATGATACCACACTTATTCAAAATCTGGTCCTGTGACTCCAAGCTTAGACCTCTTCTTTCTTTTCTTTTTTTTTAAGGCAAATTGGGGTTAAGTGACTTGCCCAGGGTCACACAGCTGGTGTCTGAGGTCAAATTTGAACTCAGGCCCTCTTGACTCCAGCGCTGGTGCTCCATCTACTACAGCACCACCCAGCCGCCCCTCAGCCCTCTTTCTAATTCACAATCTAAGTGGCAGTCAGCCTCTCTAAGAGCTGCTCCCCAAGAGTGGGCTCTGGACAGGACCCACCCTGTACCCATCATGGTAATCACCTGGGGCGGAACGGGGATGCACCTCCTTCACCCTGTCCCTACCACGAAACACAAATAAATGCACGCACGCAACATAAGAGCCACGTTCTGGTCCCTAGGGCCCACCAAGAAACATCTATTATGGAACAGCAAGCTTGCGTGGCTCTGAACGCAGGGAGGGTCGGTCTGCTCCACCAGCTGGGCCACAGCTGGACGCCTTTAACACGCCGGCCTCAGCCCAAGACATCTGAGCACATTCTGTTTCTCCCACTTGGTTTCTGCAAGAAGGTTTCTTGCTTACCACACCCCACCCCATCCTACCTCCCTCCTATCCCCATCAGATAAGATATTAAAGCCAGAAAGAACCCTCAATGTTTCATTTCCCAGATGAAGAAACTGAGGCCTGAGGTCAGAAGGAGCCCCATCAAGGACACACAACCAGTGAACAGCTGGTTCACAGCATCCACAGTGGGTGCTTCGCCCCTCTGGGCGTCACATGTGCCCCAGGATTAACTAATCACGTGCCCACCTCTGTCTCCAAACTCTCTCCAGCTGCTAACAAAGCAAAACGACAGACTGGTCCCTGCCGCAGGAGCAAGGGGGTAATGAAAGGCTAGGCTCTGCCCTCAAAGGCTATGGAGACACCCTGGGAGAGAACAGAGCCTCCTGACCCAGGGCATGGAGGAATCAGGGCAAAAGACGGACAGCTCTTCACTCCCCAGGAAACAAGGAAAGCCTGGATTTAGTCTGGTCTGGTTGCCTTGAATAGGCGCCTGGGTTCAAATAAACACAAAGGAAGTTTAGTATAAATTGAGCTGGGGAGGGAAGGGGAAGCATTTTGGCAAAAACCGAAGCTCTCCCTCCACCTTCCCCACCTCCACTCTGTCTTGGTACGTTCTCCCCCCACCCCCCAAAGTTCAAAGTTCTATCGCTCTGGACCTTACCTTAGCCTTCCTCACTATTCCCTCCTCACAAACCTGCTCGCAGGGCCTGGAGGCCTTTAAAACCCCTGTTAATTGTAGAGCCTAGAAGAATTCATCCTATCTAGATCTAGAAGGAATATATATTAAGGATGATCTAATCCACTGAGTTATTTTTACATAGAAGGGGACTGAGTCCCAAGAAGTGATCGATTCCCATTCTATCCGTCATCAATCATCTATTCAGCACCTACTAATGGAGCCACAAGGACAAAGAATGAAACAGCCCTTGCCCTCAAGAAGCTTATATTCTACCATGGAAGACAACCAGCAGGAACGTTTCTGCCTGCTCTTCAAAGACCAAGTCAGATGCCTCGCCCTTTCTGTGGCCTTCCTGAATGTCTGCAAGAAAGAATGACTAGACCCTCTTTTGACTCTTCTGAGCCCCTGGTCTGGGCCTCTTTCCTCTGCGTTCCTTTATCCCATTCTTCCTCGTCATCATCATTATTTAGGAACTTAATCTCCTGGAAGCAGGGGCAAGGATGTGTCAAGGTTCGCCATTTACTGCCTCTGTTGAACTGAACTGACCTGCCCAATAGCCCACAGGCAGAAAGGGGCAGAGATGGAATCCCAACCCAGACCCTCTCTGCTACACCACACCAGTGGCAGAGAAGATGGGTTCACACCTTATCTCAGACGCTTATTACCTGAGTAGCCCTGGGCAGGTCATTTAAACTCCCAGGCCTCAGTTTCCTCTTCTGTAAAACAAAGGCCTCGATGCCTCTAAAATCCACACCTGCATTTTCAAAGTTCCTGGGCTCAGGATTATCCTCTCTGCCCCCACCACATTCCCACAACACATACATCAAGCCCATGCCCACACATGCCAGCCCTTACCCTCTGGATGGCCCTGCTCCCTGCCATCACATGCCTTATCCCTCTGACACAGAGGAGGAGGAAAAGGCCTAGGCAACATCTGGATTGCTTTGACCTGGTCAGCAAGGCTGCAATTCACTTCTAAATTCAGGATATGGTTTAAAAGCAGCTGGTTTCATTTTTATTTCTCTTTTTTTTAGCTTAGTTAAGATGGCTGGGCACACACATCCTCTTATCGGAGGTGAGAGACAACAACCTTTTCTTCCTAAAGGTGGTCTTTGATTTCTTAAAATTCACCCACGTTGGCCCAGCTCAGAAAGCTGAGGGACAAGGCCTGGCCTTCTGCTGCTGATATAAATAACCTGACTGGTTTTAATCGGCTGTCCTGGCACCGAGCTGGCCAGGCAGTCGCTCAATAACTGAGGCTGGGGAGTGAGAATGTTTAGAACCTTCAGGATCCTCGGTCCAACCCTGTTATTTTGCAGAGGGAGAACAGAGGCCCACGGTGGTTAGGTGACTTGCCGAAGGGGATGTGATGAAAGGCAGAAGCAAACCAGGACTAAGGCAGCCAGCCTGGCCTGGGGGAAGAAGCATCGGGCTCTAGAGTCAGAGGAGGCTTGGGCAAATCCCATTTGGAGACCCCCACATTTATGTTAATTAATCTCACTGTAGCAAGCCAGTTTTTCCACCTCTCCCTAACTGATTCACTAGCCCACTCTTCTTTTCCAAACCCCTCCTCTCCTAAAGCCTCCCATGGCCCCGGCTCTCCCCACCCTCTCAGCCAAGGCCAGGCCTCGTACTTCACCAAAAGACATGAACATATTTGCCCTGACCTCTGATCCTCCCATTTTCCTCGTCTCACACTACTCAGACATCCTGCCCCTTTATCACCTGCATTTCTGTCACTCATGAAGAGATGGGGTTTGCCAAGGCAAACGCCTCTCCAGGCACCTCCAATCCTCTCCCCTCTGCCCTCCCCAGCATCCCTCTCCTTCGATCTTCAATCTCTCCTTTCTCCTGGCTCTTTTACCAGTGTCTACAAGCACCATCACATCTCCCTCACCTTTGCACAGACCATCCCCATTACCCATGGTCCTATGTCTTTGCCCCGAAAGTCCTCCAGAGAGACACGTCTACAAGTCACTTTCTTCCCTCTGACTTTCTTCTAAACTCCTTGTAATCTGGCTTCAGAACTCATCATTCAACTGAAACCGCTCTCTTCCAAGCTAACAATGAGCTCTTCACTCCCAGATCCAAGGCCTTTTTCCAGTTACCCTTCCTGATGTCTACTCTGCAGCATCTGACACTGTGAGTCACCCTGTCCTAAATACTCTCCTCTCTAGGTCTGTCAACAGTGAGCAGAAGTTAGCTGGAATCTGAAGATCACATCCCTGAGAGTAACACTAATATGCAGGGGAGCAGATCGATATCATTCAAAGCCAGCACCCTCTCTCCAAGGAGAGCAGTGATGGCCTCTGGCCCCACCCCCATATGAATTAAAGTCTCCCTTGGAGAGGGGTGGGGGAAAAGAGGCTAGAGATGCCACACTCCCAGGCCATGTGTAGGGGACAGCCCTTGTAGTGACAAGAATAACAATAATTGTTATTATCATATTTATACATCACTTTAAGGCTTGCAAACACTTTATAAATATTCTCTCATTTTATCACGACAACAACCCTAGGGGGCAGATACTATTATTATCTCCACTTAACAGATAAGATAGTCAGAGGTTAGATGACTTGCCCAGGGTTACACATCTAGTAAGTGTCTAAGGCTGGATTGGAACTCGGGTGTTCCTGATTCCAGTTCTAGTTCGCTACCTGC